TGTGTGTGTGTGTGTGTGTGTGTGTGTGTGTGTGTGTGTGTGTATGTAACCCTTTGATAACTTTTGAACGGCTGCCAGTCCGGTCAAAAACGGTTGAATCGTTCGTGAGTTATCATTGTCGAAAGAAAACCGAAAAAAGTGATTTTTTGGAATCACTCCAAAATTCCTAGTTCGATCAATTTATGCTCAAAGATTCTTTATGAGGCTTCAAAAACTGCGTTGAATGCTGCCAACCGCATGAAAATCGGTTCATTTATTCAAAAGTTATTGCAGTTTGAAAATTCAAAACATTGTGTTTTATTAAACGTACATCAGACTTTTGAGCTCGAAGAGCTCAAAAGCATAAAAACAATATCTTTTTGAGCTCGGAGATCTCGAAATGACACAAAAATCATAATCTGTAATTTTGAACGCTTAAGTACAAAATGAGTGGGAAGTTGCAGGGATGGCCTGTAGGGCTAACTGTCATCCTAATTTTTTAAAAATCAATTGTTTGATAATAGTTATTACTTATCAAACTTGATACCTCCTTCGGTCGATAACCAGGCACCCGGGTACCCATTGAAGTTATTATGCACGAATGTCGGACTTATACACATTGAAGAGACTAATTATGAAAGTATTGTGGTAATTTGACATTTGAATAAATAATACAGTATCGTTTACAATTTCTGTCATTTAAACAATTTTTATTATAAACAATAGCAAAGTTAGTGAGTAAAGTCAGATAGTAAGTAAAAAATCATAATTCTGTTCATATTCATATTAGTGAGGATTTTTCTTCGATTATTTATTAATTCACATTGTTTACTTTTTTATTATAATACAAAGCCACACGAAAATAAAAGTTAATTTTATTATGTCGCACACCCTTCACATGTCGTGGTTGTGATACAATGTACATCACAAATAGGGTTCTTAAATACTGAACATATTTTTCTCGTTTTGCGACGTTTTGTGAATTCATTTTGAAGTGAAACGTAATGTTATGTTTCCCTTGGTCGCCCCTTTTACTCTTAAGGGCGCCACTGGATTTTTAGTCTCAGCATCCAGAAACTGGACCAGAACATGGAGTGCTAGGTCAGGGTCGTGAGAGATTTGCTGAAAGGTAATAAGACTTAGACACAGAAATTCGTTTAACAAAAATTATTTATTTATCCACTCTCCTTACAATTGAAATAATGGCCAAAATTACAATATATAAAGTTCCATGGATAACAATCCACACTCACACTCGCACACATACGGTATATTTCGCGCTGTCCAGCTAGACCCTCACGTGGTTGCAGTCCCCGATGTCTACTGGACTCTCACGGTACTCTATTTACTTCGCGTCGTCCCCTGGACCTCTAACGCTACTCTAACTTAGTTCGCGCGGTCTCACGGACTCTCACGCCACTGAGCTGGACCTCTGACGTGACTGCACACGTTGTCCACACAGCGCACGCTGTCCCCCAAACTTCACGCTACTCTAAGAGAACTACCCTAAGCTGGATAGTCTCTTTACTCTCACACAAACACACTCTATTCTAATTCCCCAATAACAATAATAATAACGCTTAAATTTCAATTTCAATATAACTTCCAAAATATTATTTCCCTAATTAATATTTTTAAAATTCCGGTTTATCATTTTCCGAATTTCAAAATACAAATAACAAATTCCTATTATCTAAATAACTGCCGTATCTTCACTTACTACAACAATAATTATCTAAATTTCAATTTCAAATTATCCAGGATTGAATCCATTCTTTATGTCCGAGAAATTTATTAAATAATTTTAATCTTCATTTTAGCAACCTTGAGTAAACTTAAATCTTTTCCATTATTCAATTTAATCCAAATCATTTTATTCCCAGCTACTTTATTTAATCTAATATCGGCGGTAATTTTACTAGATTTATTTTTCGACGCAAAAGTTAAATTTAAACATGAGATTATTCTATTGTAATTTATTATGTGTTTCTCAAAACTTGATATTTTATTTTACTTGAGTTTATTTTATTTCAATGACTAAGGGACTTTAGTTACGAACTTGTGTGTCCTCTACTTAGCGTTTCTCGCACAGGACAAGATGGCTGACGCTCTCGCTCGGTCTAGCGTCTTTGTCGCACAACTCAAGTATTTTTTTGACGAAATTTCTACAAATTTTGTATTCTACTTTCTTTTTGCTAAATAATTTAAATTGACACTTCTATTGATTTAAATGATTACTTCCGGACTCTAACTATAATTTAAATTACGAAAAATATTAGATAATGCGCCAAATAATTTATTAAAATAATTTTACTGTCGAATTGATTCCTGTCTTAAATAATTTTAATTTAGTGGTTCACTCAATTTCATTTCTACTGGCTTAAACCAAATTATTATTTATAGATTCCCAATTAAAACAATTTTACACATGGCGTAAAAATCTGGAATTAATAACCCGAACTAATGCCTAGTATTATCAACCCAGACATGCCTACGTGTAAAATAAGTAATGACAAAGACACGTTAATTTTCCCTAACAATTTAATTAATAGCCCGAAAGCTGTCCTGGTATTATTAATTAATTGTTTTATAATTTGTCCAATTCGTAATGTTAAATCTGATACTGAATAAATAAACTATTTATAAATGATACTTAAAATAAACTAACTAAATAATAAGCGATTGTGACTGAGCACGAAATGGCGGTGACCTTCAGCCGACGTGTTGCCTGGCTGATGCCGCAGACCCGAGGAATAATTAAGACTCGTTATTTGTACCTGGAGTATTCTTATAATTTTAATCTACACTCCAACGGTGAGCTGCAACTTCTCGTCTTCGGGTACTGGCGTGAATTTTCCCTCGGTCAGGTATTCTCGATTTGGCGGCAAACTCTCGTCACCATCACTCGCTCTCTGGTTATTTATTACGCCTGTAACCGCAAATCAGCATTAGAAAATATTACCAATTAAGATTAATTTACGCAAGCTGGCAGGCGGCCTAGCAAGCAATAAATTAACAAAATATCGCTTCGTTCAACGTTGGACAAGCAGAATAAAAATAATTACCTTAGCTGGATGTTTTAGAAAAATCTGCGTGTCGTCCAGTCGAGCCACTCAGTCACAATGAGTCTTACCAAATTTCGCTCGTTCTTTCTTGCTTTCTCTGCTCTCCCCACTACCACTACGCTAGCTTCTCCACCTCGGGGCCTTTCTTACTAGCTCTGAACGAGCTTTAGATCACAGCGCACTGTGAGCAGTCGATAAATAACTAGGTTCCGAAATGGGGAATTTACCGAGTAACGATCACTCCGTTACAGAAGACAAGAATAACATACACCAGTAATCTTTTTCCTTCTGGTTGAATCGAGCTGCGTCTGGGTTCTTAATGATTCAGATGTTGCTGGTGACACATATGGATTAATAGCTCGGCCAAGAAAAGATTTAATCGCCACTTTCGTTGAGAAATGCCTCATAATTTGTGGATTCTGCGAACGATTTCCAACGAATGGAGTACATAGTTCTCTGCCCAATTAACGATAAAATAATCACCGCTCCTGCGATGTTTAACAAGCATTTTATTATTCTCATTATACAGAATATATATTGCAAGGCAGATAACATCGATAATATTATAGAAAATCGCTAGAGGCCATCTTTGAGTAGATCTTCCGTAGTGTATCTACCAAGCATTTTATCCATAGTGCCCACTCTAGTTTTTGACCAGTTATAAAATTCAATGATTTCGGGATTTTTCTTTGCACTATCACTAATTTTTGCTTCATGATGCATTAATGATAGCATAATTATTACCTTTTTTTGGCACATAACTGCATATGGTTATTTTTTCATGAAAACCAAACACAGTAGATAATTCTTCTTGCGTTTTCAATGCAGCTATTGCTGGTGGAATATATGCCTTATTTTTCTTCAAAGTACCAACAATCGTCAAGTTTCACAATAGTAAAGATTTTGCCAATGGAAGAGTAGTAAAATAATAATCCATAGAAATTCCCCATTACCGACCATCAGAAAACATCTCATACGGCAGTACCGTTAAAAGATTTTTTCCTAAAAAAAAACACACACACACAGACCCGTACATTAGATGATTGGACTGGTGAGTTGGAAGTCAGTAATTAGATATTATCTGCTGTGGGTCACACCGATGTGTCTGGCCTGCACGAAGGTCCTAGCACAGGTGAAGGTGGTCTTAGTGTCGCAGGAGGTGGAGCGAGACCTGGAGAAGACACAGGTGGTGGTGTCTTTAGTGACGAGAGTTGGATGGAGGCCCGGACTGGCGTAGGAGACGTCTCCGACCCCATCTCCTTTTGAGCAGCCCGGACTCCAAACGTCAAAAGCTCCAAGGGCCTCGGTTCCCTGAACTTCTCCCTCTCTTCCTCTGTGAGGGCCCTCGTGCAGGCTCTCCGTAGGGTGCGCTTGGGTGTCGTCGGGTTTGCCAGCAACAGGTTGAACTTCGCTCTGCGTCTGTTCAACCTGGTCTGGTTCCCGTTGAGCCCGCACCATCTGGAGCTCTCGGAGTAGACCTTGTTGCCCCTCCCACTGCTTCGATTGGCTCTCCGTGGTCTCGCTCGGCTCGAAGCCGAACGTTTTCCATTATCAGTTTCCTTTGGTTTACCACCAGCTCCAGGAGCCCCCAATCGGTCGTGAACCGAGGGTGTGGTCGCTGCTGGAACTGGGTAGTAGCTAGGCACTAGTGGTCCCAGCCTTGACAGGGCAGATGCCCGAGACGTTAGTGCCGCTTCAGACGGTGGCCCAGCGAGGATAGCACGTTGAACGGCCCCGGAATTAATTCCGGGCCTCACCCCTCTGATGTTGACTTGAGCCGCCCCTGGCCGCTGCTGACCCTCTCTCCGGGCCTTGATTTCTTTAGAAATTCTCCACATCACTCTGAAAATTATTTAAATTAGTACAAATATTCACAGCTGTTAACTTTTTTAAATTTTCTCTCTTAATTTTATTAGTTTTTTTTTTCTTTCTTTCAGAGTGATAATAATTACCGAGTTAATTTTTATTCGCTAATCGATCACTACGACGCGGCAGCTTCAAGTCGGGTATGTAATGTTGGCCTAATAGTTTACCGCGTTCATTTTTCAATTCTACGACTAATGGACTAATTATCTTAGAAATTAACGCAGGCCCTAAATATTTAACCCCAAGACTCGCGCTGTACCCCGCCGCTATATTACTCAGCTTTCGATTAGGATAATAGACTTTGTCACCGACAGAGACCTACGGGATCTTTAAATCAGTCCAGTGGTATTTCTCTTGTCGCTCATTTTCTCTTCTCATGACAGATTCGATTTTATGCCTGAGCTCATCAAAACGCTGTACCCTTTTGGCCCACTCTGGATTTCTGAATTCAAGATCATCTAGCTCCGGGTGAGACAGTTGACCTGCCTGCCGTGGTTCTTGGCCATGAAATAAATAATACGGTGACAGCTTTAGAGAGGAGTGGAAGGCACTGTTATAAGCCAGTTGAAACTCGCCCAGATGCTCATCCCACTCTTTCTGGTCTTTATTGATGAAAGCTCTTATCATTGGTTTCAAGGTACGATTGATGCGCTCTACTGGATTCGCCTGAGGATGTGAAACGGCTATTGGAGAAAACTTCACTCCGACTTCACGTAAGTAGTCCTGTACTAGAGTGTTGATGAATTCTTTACCGTTATCTGTGACCAGAAACAGTGGGTATCCCCAAAGTGTGAATGCCTACCTAAAACACTGTAGTACAAAGCTACCCGTGTGTTGTCGTAACGAAAAGAATGCCGAAAACCGGGTATATAGGTCTTGGACAACTAAAATGTAACAGTTTCCCCGTTTTGATCTTGTAAAGGGACCTCTGACATCAGCTGCCACGACCGCCCAAGGTTTAATCGGTTGTCTCGTTTGAAGTGGAGCTTTCGAGGAAGTTTGTTTATATTTAACCTGTTTACAGGTTTCACAGGCTTGTACGAAGTCTTCAACATCCTTCGACATGCCTGGCCAGTAAAAATTGATTTTAATGCGCTCGTACATTTTATCACGACCAAGATGTCCCGCATCTGGTTCCTCGTGATTTCTTTTTAGTGTTTCAGGTACTTCGTGGTCTCTCAGTACCCTTTTCCACTCATCCTCGTCGCCCAGGATCTCTTTAAGGGGATCGGGTCTTCTATAACAAAGATGATCCTCTAAGATTTTCCAGTCTGGAAAATTCTTTGGATGTTTCCTGACATTATTGAATTTAATGTCATACCAATTTGATGTTTGAATATGGACAAACCTAGCTGTTTGTAACCTGTCCTTAATTTCCATCCAATCTTCTGGAGAATCATCTTTATATAGCCGAGAAAGAGCGTCTGGGCCCTCGTTTGTCGCGCCTCGTTGATGCTTGATGGTAACTTGGTGAGAAAATAGCTCGACTGCCATCTCACCAGGCGTCCGTTTGGCTCTTTCAGTGAATCCAGCCACAATAGAGAAGCGTGATCTGTGACCACCGTAAACGGAGCACCTTCGAGATAGCATCTCAGCTTCCTCACCGCCCAGACTACAGCTAAGCACTCCTTTTCTGTAGCCGTGTATCTAGTTTCTGCACCACGGAACTGACGACTGAGACAAATAATTAAATGATCCTTGTCTGTTCCGGGCTCTTTTTGAACTAGAAATGCCCCAAGACCGGTGTCGCATGCATCAGTGTATAATACATACGGCCATTCGGGTTTTGGAATTGATAAGGGCTGAACATCAACGAGAGATTGCTTAAGCAATTGAAACGACTTTTCCTCTTCTGGCCCCCACCTCCATTCCGAATTTGCGCCTGTTAATTTGTTCAGAGGACCTTGGGCCTTCGCAACATTCTGGAGGTGGCGGTGGTACCAGTTAACGAGGCCCAGAAAGCATCGTAGTTGTTTTTTGTTGGTAGGAGTGGGAAAATTTACGACTGGTGAGATTCTTTCTGGATCAAGATATAACCCAGTTTCGTTTACAACGAATCCCAAGAACCTCACTTTATTTCTGCAGAACTTGCACTTCTCCGGGTTGATCAGGAGGCCAAACTCGCGAAATACTTCAAAAAGGAGAGCTAGGACTTTAAGATGTTCATCAAAGGTTTCGCTTATCGCAATCCAATCATCAAGATAAGCGAAAACCTGTTCAACTCATTTCAGTGGAAGCTCTCTTTGGACCAATATTCCGCAAAAACGTGTTTTTACGTGGTCCATAGCTTTTTAAAAAGTACTTGGAGCTCCTACGAGTCCGTATGGCATACGTAGCCACTCGAATTGGCCTCTACCCTCCACGGAGAATGCTGTTAGTGGAACTGAGTCTGGTGACATGAGAATCTGGTAAAATGCCTCTCGCAAGTCTATTGTTGAGATGTAGGTGGCACCATGAAGAGCACTTAGTATTCTGAGCATGTTCGGAAGTGGATGAGCAGGTGGAATTGTCACTTTGTTGACTGGACGATAGTCAATACAAAATCTCCACTTGTTGTTTGGTTTTGAGACCATCAATGGCGAACATGACCAGACACTGAAGCTCGGCCGAATGAACTTTTTCTCCAGGAGCTCATCAATTTGTTTATTCAACTCCTCGTTCACAACTGGGCTTCTACGATACGGTTTAATACGTACCGGTTGTGTTCCTGGTTTTACGACAATTTCATGTTGAATAATTTTTGCTGCTCCTAGATTTGACACTTCACCAAATTTTCTCAACTCAGTCTCCAGAAAACCCTTTAATTTTACCTCTTGAAGTTCAGACATAGCACACAAATGTGCTGACTTCTCATGACAGTTGATAGGTTGGAATAAAAAGACTTCTGGAGAATCCGAAAATTTCCACGTGCAGTTCTTGCAGTCGATTTGAACCTCGAATTTAGTCGCGAAGTCCATCCCCAGGACCAAGGAATAACCTAGGTCGGGTAAAACACTCAAATACTGTTCTCCAGCGACCGATCCGATTTGAATTATGAAAGGGGCTCCACCTCTACTCTTACAAGTAGAGTGATTAGCAAGAAGCACTCCTTTCTTGGTCTGATCGTCCTGTAGCTCACCAGCAGCCAGATGTTTGATGTCCTCATACACCTTTTCGTTAATGTAAGACCTCTCACTGCCAGTATCCAGGATTCCATGTAGCTTCACCCCAAATAACTATACGGATATGGGTATCCTCGAAGTTTTTTCCGGTGGTGACCCGTTTCCGGGCTTGAAAATATGTCGAGTAGCTAGTTTGTGAATGAAGGACGCAGTGAGAGGTTTACCCTGTAATATATGAGGTAAAAACGAAGCTTGTGATGGCTTGTTGGTATCTGTGGGGACTGCTGGTTGAGGTACTGCTGGTTCACAGAGTGTTTCGATTTCATCTTCCCACTCAGAGTCTGATGCTTGTTCTGGCTCTGAGTTATCATCAGAATGTTGTTCCAAAGCAAATATACGAGGATGGAGTAAATCATCAGACAGATCTGATGGAGGATCTTCTAATAGTGCGATTACTCTTAATACCTCCTCTGAACAGAGTGGTTTCACACGTTTTGTCTCTTGTATATTGACTACGGAGTCAGAATCAAACATATTGTTTGTTTTGCCCCTTTCTGGCCCACAAGTGGGTGTATCCAGACGGGTATCAATTTCAGAATTGTGTAATTTGTTTCCCTGTTTATCAACATGTACTGGTGAGCACGTGGGAAACTCCCGCGCTACCTCTACGCGTTTTTTTGAATTTGTTGACCTGCATCTTCTTCCGGGATTTCAGTGATAACTGGTCCTTGTGTAGGTTGATTAATTACTGGGACAACCAGAGGACACTTATCTCTTGTGTGTCCAGTATTGTAACACACATTACAAACTTCCCTTCTGGGACCTGGACAAACCTCAAATGTATGACCCGGTACGCCACAGTTGAAACACGGCCTAGGTCCACGTGAGTAGCTAAAGTCGTGAAACTGGCCTACAGTCTGAACCGGCATATTGGAAGCTTGTGCTGTTAGTTGTTGATATTGTCGAGGAACAGCATACTGTCCTTGTGATGTAGTACTTTGTCCTGGTGTCCTAGTATTGGAAGTTCCAGGTTGTGTATTCGGTGCAGGTGTTTGTGAGGTACCAGGTTGAGCAGCAGGCTGTTGTTGCCTAGGATAAAAACCTCGACGGACAAATTGTCTGCGTGTAGGAAACTGGTTGTTAGTACGTCTATATACTCCATAGCGATTATCGTACTCCCCTGAGTTTGATTGCATCGCGTTAAATTCAGGGAGTTCGATAAACTCTTCCAAAATTTCCATGTCCTCAACTGGCTGTTGGATTGCCCCAAAGCGAGGTTTCTCTGGGTTCTTCGGTTGATTCACAGCCTGTGTTTTGCTGCTCATATTCTTTGTACACCTGGCTGCCTCATGTAGCACATTTAGAAGGTCCTCATATGTTGAGATCTGTCTCGCAAATACCATGATTCTCAGCTCATCCGTCAGGTTATTCCTGATGTAATTTACCTATTCTTTTATTGGTGGGGGAATTTCCATCGCTCGGTATTTTTGTCGGACATTCAGAACAAATTCTGTGGGACTATCCTCAGGCCTCATCTTCATCTGACTAATGTCCAGAATCATTTGATGATCAGTTGTAGCACTACCGAAAGTTTTTAGAAACTCCCTCTTGAACTGGGCGAAATTCACCCATCTACTGTAATTCGCATCGACCCAACGAGCTGGTATTCCTTTTAATGTGAGAGTGATCACCCTCAATAATTCTGCCTCGTTCCATTCTTTTCGTCTGGCTCTTGCTTCTAACGAGTTAACAAAGTCGTTAGCTGTGACTCCTTGTTGAGGATAACAGATGGCTGACATCTGGATACTGTCTTTAATTTCCCTCCAACGGTTGTAAGACACTTGACTCGAACGATTTATGGTGTTCATTCTCGTATAGGTCCCTCCAGGCGCTCTTGATTGTTAATTATCCTGAAAATTACCTGAATAATTGGCCTGTGGTACATTTATATAAGTGTTACTGGGTATAAACCCCCGGTAACTCTCTTGTTGGTCAAAATCTTGGAAGTCATTTCCTTGGTTGATGTAAGTAACAGTCGGTGGACGTGGTGTGGTGTCCACAGGACGAGTGTTCTGGTTATATCCGTCTTGAAGAATTGGAGAACTGGAATTTATTCCAGTATAAGCTGCTCCTGTGTAAACTTCCCGTGCTAGTTGTTCACGTTCACACAATTGGCGTATTTCCTGCTCCTGTTGTTGTTGTATACGTTCAAGACGTTCTCGTTGAGTTTGTTCACGTCGCAGATTGTCGCGTAGCTCTTGTTCACGAGCTTCTCTCTGTCTTAGTGCTTCCTCGACCCCAATGAGTTCTGCTGGAGGCCTCTGAGTTGCTTCTGGGTCTCCTCGAAGTCTATGTTGGAGCCAAGATATGTTTTGGTCCATATCTTCTATGATACCATTCATTCGGTCTGCGACTTCTCCAAAATGCAACGAAGAATCCGAGGAACCAGCTGGAGTTGGTGTGGTTGTGATTCTCGTGAACAAATTACTAAATCTGGCCGTGCGAGAATTAGCAGGAGCAGACGCCGTACCACTGGTACCAGGAGTTGTGCCGACGGACATTCGTTGATTGTTTGGGACCAGCTGTGAGTTTCCCGGGAACCTTTGTTGATTGAGACCCGTGTTTAATTGAGTTGACTCCCCCGAAGGTACAGGCGTTACGCCCGTCCTGGGTATTTGAGTGCGCTCCCCCAAGAGTCTATGTCCAACGTCGGTTCCAGGATTAACTGTGGTACTTGATAACATTGCACCACGGCCTCTTCCAAAAGAGACTCGACGAGAGTCAATTCCTGGCTCTTCGAGGAGTCCTTGAGACCTGGTTCTTGGTCCATTCGGTGGAATGATTGTGCTTTTAAATAATTAATTTAATCCGAAAAAAAAAAAAATTTCAATAAAATTTAACCGCAATATAAATTCAAAGAAATTATTAATTTAGCTATTTATAAATAACCTCTGTAATACGATTAAATTTGTTGATTGCAACAATTCGCAAAATAAATTTCAGAAAAATTGAAAAATTTCAAAAATATAAATTTTCGAAATATAAATTCAGAATAAAAAAAAAAAAATGGTTTCAGAAGGATAAATCTTCGAAAAATAAATTTCAAAATAAATTTAAATCTCGGGAAAAAAAAAATTTTGAAAACAAATTTCAGAAAATAAATTTTTGGAAAAATAAATTTCAAAAATTAAATTTTAAAAATAAATTAAATTTCCAAAGAATGAATTTCAAAAGATAAATTTCAAAATAAATTTCAGAAATCAAAAGGTAACTTTGCGCATTAATATCCAAAGTGAATAAATAAATTTTAAACTAAATGTTTGAAAATAATTCTCAAAAAGGAAATTTTTAAATAAAATACCTGAGTATTAGTTTTGTAAAATATTAAATTCTCAAACTTAATTCCCAACACAATTGACAAAAGTGAATTACCAATAAAAAATTAAAATATAAAAATTCAGAAAAACTTATTAATTTTAAACACTCAGTTTTTCTTTTAATAATGAGTTATTCAAAAAATTTTGAAAATAGAATTTGATGAAGAATTTAATTACTTAATTAAATTTCGAGGGATAGTTATTCAACCAAATGATCAATTAGTTTTCAAAATAACCCTCGAAAACGGAAATTAAATTCTCAAAACCAAAAAAAAATAAATTTCAAAATTCACAAAATATTTCAATTGAATAAAAAAATATTTCAAAACGAAACTTCCAAATGTTTTAAAAAAAAAAAAAATTTTAGCAGAATATTTTGCAATTTTTTAATTATAATTATTAATAATTATAATATTCAATTCACTATTGCAATTGTACTCGGGAAATAATCCGAAAATTTAATTATAAATAGACCAGTATTCCAGAAAATTAAATTTAGTTTAAAATAGAAAAATTAAAATTTCAAATTATTTTATTTTAAAGAAGGAAAATGAAAAAAAAAATTCTTATAAGCGGATTAAATTTTTTTCCAGTAAGTGACGAAACTTTGGTACTTGCGTTGTTACTAAACGCGCCAACGAACGATGTCGAACGAAGTTGTCCGAACTCGACAGAGGCAAGCGCGTCAACCGCTTCGGTAGCGTCGTATAGAATTTTGTTCGAGTGTCTTCTCTACTAAACGCGCCAAACGTACGATGTCGAACGAAGTTGTCCGAACTCGATTTGCCTTTGGGCAAGCGCGTCGCTAACTTCGGTAGCGTCGTGTTCTCAAATTTACTGCGTAGACAATTTTCTATTGAAAGGATGTTTGGTTTTACCGAGTTTTATTTTAATACTGTTATTATTATCTATAATCCCCTGAGTGGCTGTGTCACGTAGACAATGCTAGTCCAAGCCACTGGGTATACTTTGTTTGTTGTAGATAATATTTCTAATCCCCAGAATAGCTGTGACAAGCTATTGGGTATTGACGACACTTCCGGTTTTAAATTTTGATTTCTTAATTTTGTATAATTAAGAAAACGATAAATACTTAAAAAAATTCTAAATAAAATTCAATAAACTCAAGTATCACTTTTCTCCGAACTCAAGTAACTTTTTTCAAACTAAAAATTTAGCTAATGACTGATATTTATTTATTTAAATTTTAATTAAACAAAAATTTATTTATTCCCAGGCCTTCCTTCTCTCTCATGGGGTTTTTCATTATTGGGCGCCAGTGTAACGGATTGGTTTATTTCTCGTTCATTGGCCCCTTGTTAATTTGAATAAATGATACAAAATAACAAACAAAATGATTCTAAATTAAACAAGGGCGCCACCAGGATTTTTCAACACGGTTCCTGGAACCGGAAACCAGAGCTGAGCTTATAATCTACAGGGAGAGAGAGTGGAGGAAGGTGTTCTGAAAATGAATAAACTTTTATTTAACAATTCCCTGGCGGATCCGAATCACGGTAAAATACCGTAATTAAAGTGATTCACGGTGAATTCACGGTGAAAACCCGTAATTCGGTTATTTACCGAACTTCTTGGTAAAAATCGGTAAAGTCACCGTGTTTTCACGGTAATTCACGGTGAATTCACCGAAATTTACGGTGAAATTTTCATGAAACACCGTAAAACCACCGTAATTCTTCGAGATCTCAAATCACGGTAAAATAAATCGATTACGGTGAATTTAAGGTAAAATACGGTATTTCCCTGAAACACCGTGCCGTAACCTTTTTGTGTAATTTTGAGTTTCGTAGACATAATGTCTTATCCCGTAGATTTTGTTTAGCTGAAACTGAATGTCGCAATTGTTCTTGCGAAATCATGGGCTATCAATTGTTGATAGCCATTTATTTAATCAATTGTTAAAAAAAATATATTTTTATAAAAAAAATAGTTTTTTTTTATTTCGAACAATTTTAAGGCAAAAGTTGCTCTTATAAAATTTGCGTATAGTTAAGAGTTTTTGAGTTTTGATTTTTTTTTGATTTGAAATACATATTTTTTCACAATTTCGAAGATTAATTACAAAAGAAAAAATTATTTAATATTAAAATAAATATGTATGAATGTAAAGAAGATCACCGAAAGTTCCTATTCAAA